ATCTTTTAGAAGCAGCTCACTGGAAGGTTGTGCTAGTTTTAGAACAGGCTTGAGGGCACCACATGTGGTCCTTGGGGGCTTCCTGGTGCCTGTGGGCACCATGTTGGTGACACCTGGTCTAAGCCATGTCACAAAAAAGAATGTATCCCTCTGGTGCCGAAAAAAGAAAAGGAAAGAGGAAGAAAAAAAAAAGAGCAAGATAAAGGTATGTTAGCATGATTATTTAAGGACCGGTAGATTTTGTGCAGCAGCAGCACAAATTGTCCTCATGTTGTGATATTTATCAGCCATCCATCACCAGAGCGAAATCCCCACCATTAACAGTGAAATATTACCTGTTATTAATATACATTTATCTAGGTAGGTGTGTATTTCAGGTGTTGATACATATCGGCGAGGGAGACCCAGCACATGCTGGAGGGACTATGTTTCTCGGCTGGCCTGGCCTGGCCTGGCCTGGGACATCTGGGCCTTGCTATTAAAGCTGCTACGCCCACGACCTGACCCCGTATATGCGGAAGATAATGGATGGATGGATAGATATCGGTTTAAGTTGGAGAAAACACAGATGCCAGCTTAACTAGCATTGCTGTTTGATTTGAAGTGAATCTACTACCTTCATAGACAAAGCACGAGCGCTCTCTGCTCTAAGATCTTTGGTGAGAGATGGTATTTATCTTTATTAGAAAATATACCAAAAATGAAAATAGACTGCAGTTTTATTGATATGGTGGTGAATGATGACGCAGTGCTTTCCTGCAGTAGATCACCATGTTAAGTTTTCACCATATGGCAATTATGCCTCATTTGCCAATAGAATATGAATTGTTAGGTGAGGTGTGGAGTGTCTTGTGTTGCAAGATGGGAAAATAAACTAATTCTACTCAATAAACTATGCATTATGCAATGCTATTTTTCCCAGGAACACTGCTGAAGTACTTTGGAGAACAACCAACTTTACCTGCCCCTAATGATTCAAGTGTCAGTGCCTCCACAGCTGATGATGCAGTAGGTGAGCGTTTTCTTGATGGCAAATGGTTACATAGCCTGTTAATATGACATGAAACATTTAGCTTTTTATTTATTTATTTATTTTTTGTTTGTTTTATCATTGCAGGTTCATCCACTGCACAAGCGACTAAAAGAAAACAGCACTTTTTAATGCTGTAGTGGATTGTAGCATTCAGTCATTGGAGGATAGATTTACATCTCTAAGTGAGGTTAAAGATAACTTTGGAGTGCTGCTCAATTTTAGGGAACTTGATCAAAAAGTCCGGAGGGAACAATGTGAGCTTCTTGCGGAAAAACTCACTTGTGGAGAGGAGGCTGATATTGATGGTAGCGCACTGGCATTAGAGATAGTCTTCCTGAACTTCCCCAAACTATGAAGACTGCCTTTGAGCTTCTCACATACCTCTCACAAAATGAGATGTTTGATCTTTACCCAAATCTTTGGGTAGCTCTTAGCCTGCACTCTGCCTGTGACAGTTGCCTCAGCAGAAAGGAGCTTTTCAAAGCTCAAATTAATAAAATCAAACTTGAGATCTTGAATGACCCAGGAAAGACTAAGTGGACTTGCAATCATTAGTATTAATAACAAAGTTGGCCAAGCAATACCATACAATGATGTCATCAGTGACTTTGCCTCCAGAAAAGCTAGGAAGGAAAGATTTCTAGGCATTGTTGTACAATTCATTGTTAAACCCTTGCTGTTCTTATGTTTGCTTTCCTTATTTAAGTATCTGTTTTTGTAACATTCTATTTTTTATTATATTAATGTTTGTCTATTTTGGTTTTATTTAAAATATTATAATTTGTTTAATATGTTTGTATTCAAAAGGTTTAATAAAAGAAAGTATTGTAAGTATCGTTTATTTATTTATTTGTTTTTTATTAATACATTACCATAGTGTATTAATTTATAATGTTCACTATAACATTATAGTGTGACGTTTGTGTCAGTAATGTTCTAGTATAGGTGATTCTGCATGGTGGCAGGGGGGGGGGGGGGGGCAAATCAAATTCTGCTTAGGGCCCCCAAGAGGTTCGGACCGGCTCTGTCTGTTCATAATTTATTCTTTATGGTACGCCAGCATTCATAACATGTAGGCGAATCACTGTCTCCCAGACATCCACGGTTATATTTTTTATATTTATATCTTATAAAAACAAAGCGGGTTGTGTATGACGTCATCCGAATGCCGGCTACCATTCATTCTGTCCGCTGAACTGCTGCTAGTTTTACTCACATGCCTGGAAGATGTCTTGTGCTACTACCACAGATGATCTTGCTCTCCAAATGGAAATGAACGATGCAGATTAGCTAGCCGAACGAATAGAAGAGGTAGAGCGTAGCCGCCTGTTGCCCGGGCTGCCTTTTATGACTCTAGTCCAGGGCGCGGATGACGTCATATACACTACGCTTTGTTTAAAAAAAATATAAATATAAAAAATATAACCGTGGATGTCTGGGGGACAGGGATTCGCCTACATGTTATGAATGCTGGCGTAACATAAATGATAAATTATCAACAGTTTAGTTTGTGCCTTCAAGTCGTTGCCCACACGAAGACGTTACTTGGATATAACCTAACGGAATATCTTCAGAACGGCTCCAAATGACACACAACTCATATGGGTGAGTAGAACATGATGTAATAACGTAAAATCAAGGGCCCAATGTAAAAAAAACAAAACGGCGTTCCCCTCTAATGACGTCAGTCTGTGAGTAATTGGAGTCGCTGAAATAAATTAAGCTTTAAATAATTACTCAGGTGTTTAATGGGTTTGCATCTCTTTAAGGTTTGCGCTCATCAAGTGAAATGACCGGAAGAAAATACCTGAGCGCTTGAGGGAGGAGCGTCAGATGGACGCTGGGAGCGACTTTCCTGAGAGCTGAGCTTCGGCTGCTTTCACTTTCATCTACTGAGAAGTACTGAAAACATCGACGGTAAGTACGTCACACGGTTCACTTAATATTTAACAGTTTTTATACAGGAAATGTCACAGAATCTCTGTAAATATTGCTCAAAGGAGTAGTTTGTAGAAACATGAAGACAGAGGCGAACCTTAACGTTTAATCTTACAGTTGGATCTTGGCTGGCATAAGTACCCAAAGTAGAGTAGTGCAATATTCTCTGTCAGCCTCTATATGCAGGTAACTCAAAGCAACCTTCATTTTAACTCACATGACTGAATTGTTAATATTCAGTGGTGTCACTAGACCTATTTTGGGGGGATGACTGAAGCCCCCCTCTGTTGTTCTCCAGCCCTCTTAAAATAACAGTAGGTAACTATTACTTATATATATATTACTTTTGTAATATATATATATATATATATATATATATATATATATATATATATATATATATATATATATATATGTATTATTTATGTATTTATGTTGACTTACAATTATTTGAACAAACCCTCTGTCATGGCCAAGTGGGTCTGTTTCACTTTCACCAACACTAAACAGCTTAAAGGAGGACAGCAGTTTACTACACACAAAACTACTACAACTGTGCAAACTGCTTTACGGTATATGTCTCTTCAACCTTTTCCCATTTGTTATAAAGACGGAAGGCGCTGAGACTAAATTTCTCTGAGAGGCATTAATATCCATAAAATTTATGCAGGGTTTCTATTCAGGCAATGAGGGACCTTACTGTTGGGATCTATATGTCTGTTTATTGTGAAATTATGGAACATAGCATTATAATTATCTGTTTCAAGGCTTTAAACCATCAGCACATCAGTTGCGAACGAGTCAGATTAGGTGGGGGTAGTAGAGGTACAGTGGTGGCAGTGCAGAAGTTCTGTACTATTAATCAAACCAAGTTTAACTGCCATATTTTCAACATCGTCATGTAACATTACCTCTCTGCTATTCATTTTTCTCACAGCCACTGGAAACAGTAATGTAGTTCAATCTAACTCCAGGTGACTGGGAGGTCCTCATGGGAAATGGGGTCTTCCTTTAGGTAAAACAATACAGCTTTTGACCACTGGGGGGAGCCATAATTGACCATAATAAAAAGTTATTTGGCGCTCCTTTAATTAATTTGGTGTTTTTTAATTAAATCAGATGTATTTTTTTCATTTGGTTTCTAGTTTTATTTATTTAATTATTTTTTTTATGTTTTTCACTCTTAAGTGTTTCAGAACAACAATCTGATCAAGATATTATTCAGTGACACTAGAAGTAAACACAAAGCAGTTTTCTAATGCTTTTATTATTAAGCGAGAAAGAAAATTCTCAACAATCATATTAACATGATGTGAATATTTTCAGAAGTGGCTTAATATTACTTTAATTCAAGTGATTTATTTATACTTTTCAGGGCTTGTAATTACTACCATTTTATTAGCATATATGTTTAAAATGTAATCTGTGCAACTTAAAAATATAGAACAAACAACTATTGTGTTGTAAGCAAAAATCACAGTATTGGCTTTTACAGTTATCTGCTAATAATTTAACTAATTGTGTTTTTAGATATTGTTCTTGTGTTGTATGGGAGAGACCTCCTTGTCTTAAAAACTAATGACACGTGCTAATATTCATGTTTCATAGGAAAAACACTGTCATAATGTTTGAAGAAGTTCAGCCAATGGATATTGACCAGATACCTGATGAATTTTACTTCCGAACAACGAACCCCCAAACACCTGACTCCAGCGGACTTGACTCCAAAGGACCTGACTTCAACAGACCTGACCTCAACCAATCTGACTTCAACCGACCTGACTCCACTGGAACTGACTCCAACGGACCGAACACCAACGTACCTGACTTCAACAGACCTGACTCCTATGGATCTGACTACAAAGCACCTGACTCCAAAAGACCAGACTCAAAAGGCTCCAGCTCCAAAGAATCTGGCCTTCAAGGACCTCAATCTCAGGTTTTTACTTTTCTATGATTTGTATTATTAGAGCTGTAGCTGTTCATTTGCCTGTTTAAAGGCTGTGTAATATGGACATAAATGTGTGTTCTCAGTTATTCATACAGCAAAAATATGTTTTAATTAATCACTCATCTGAATAATTAAAAAAGACAACTAAGCATATAGAATTAGGTCTCAAAGGTAACAAGAAATGTTGGTTTTCTCTGCCCAGAGCAACTCGGGGCAACTCAGCTGCAGCTGTTGAGCCTAAGTCACTTTGTTTTGGAGGATGGAGGGGCTCGCTAGCTTTACATGAAGATGGTAAACTCAGTGTGATCGGTGCCATCATCTGTTGTTACAAAAGTCTCAAACAAGACCAAGAAAAGGAGCTAGATTTGTCAGTACTTGTTTAAAAAATAAAAAAAATTGGTTGCTAGAGGTGTCTAAAAAAGGCAATATAAGTAGGCTCCTAGTTGGCAACAAGGCAGAAGTGGCCTCTCTGTTTCTCTTTATACTGCTGGGCCAGCAGGGGGTTGATAGCTTAATGACGACAAGAGGCCATATTTTTAGACACAACCAAAAAATCCTGAAACAGGAATATTAAAACTCAAGTTTAAATCTGTTGCCACAGTACAACCATTAAGGGTTGGGAGACTTTTTAAACATGTAGATCATTGCAGCTATGACAGTTTTTATGTTTTTGGAAGACTATTTGGGAATTCTCTTCACACTGTCTTTTAAAGGAATAGTACACCCAAAACATGATTAGCCTTCATTTTCTACTCACCCCCATGCTGAACAACACTCTGGAGTACTTTTTTGATATCTCAAATGCATCTGGAGATCTGGGAGGCTTCTTGCTGTCTGCTGACATTCAAATAATGGAGGTCTATNTGACTTCAACCGACCTGACTCCACTGGAACTGACTCCAACGGACCGAACACCAACGTACCTGACTTCAACAGACCTGACTCCTATGGATCTGACTCCAACAGAGCTGACTCCTATGGATCTGACTCCAAAAGACCTGACTCATATGGATCTGACTCGAAAGGACCTGACTCGAAAGGACCTGACTCGAAAGGACCTGCCTCGAAAGGACCTGACTCCAAAAGACCTGACTCCAAAAGACCTGACTCCAAAGAATCTGACTCCAAAGGCTCCAGCTCCAAAGAATCTGGCCTTCAAGAACCTCGATCTCAGGTTTACTTTTCTATGATTTGTATTATTAGAGCTGTAGCTGTTCATTTGCCTGTTTAAAGGCTGTGTAATATAGACATAAATGTTTGTTCTCAGTTAGTCACACAGCAAAAATATATTTTAATTAATCACTCATCTGAATAATTAAAAAAGACAACTAAGCATATAGAATAAGGTCTCAAAGGTAACAAAAAAAATTTGGTTTTCTCTGCCCTGAGCAACTCGATGTGTCAGCGTCGCGCTGCTCTTTGACCGCAGACACAGGCTGCAGCTGCTGTGCCTAAGTCACTGTGTTTTGGAGGAGGGAGGGGCTCAGCAGCTTTACATGAAGATGGTAAACTCAGTGCGATCGGTGCTATCATGTGTTGTTACAAAAGTCTCACACAAGACAAAGAAAAGGAGCTAGATTTGTCAGTAGTTGTTTAAAAAGAAAAAGGTTGCTAGAGTGGTCTAAAAAGACAATAAAAAAGGCTCTGGGTTGGCAACAAGGCAGAAGCTGCCTCTCTGTTTGTCTTTATACTGCTGGGCCAGCAGGGGGTGGACAGCTGCATGACGACAAGAGGCCATATTTTTAGACGCACCCAAAAATCCTGAAACAGGAATATTAAAACTCAAGTTAAAATCTGTTGCTACAGTACAACCATAAAAGGTTGGGAGACTTTTTACACATTTAGTACAATACATTTATGACGCTTTTAACGTTTTTGGGAGATAATAGGGGAATTGTCTTTACACGGTAAGAGTGCATTTGAAGTATTATTTTGGACTAGGAATTGATCAATTAAAAGACTGGTCCCACCAACTCCTGCACTCAGGCGTGTTTTGCATGCTGCTGCTAAATTATATTAATAAAAAATTTAATTGACTATGTCCAAAAAGGCAGATATGATTTAGAAAGGGTTAGGAGTAGGTTATAAATGTTTGACAGGGATTCAGCTGAAGGAAGTGCACTAAATATATGAGAGAGGTAACTGTTAAAGATACCAAGAATTAAGAAAAGCATTGAGATATTTTTTTTAAATCAACATTGTTATCGATGTGCTTAGTACCTTGATTTGCTTTGATTTCGTCTGAAGTTGAAGAAAATTAGTCACATAGGATCTTAATAAAAACAATTTTTTTGGTTGTATCTTAAAAAAAATTGAGGGTATG